TCGAAAAAATAGATTTTTCGTATGTTTTACTATTGATCAGCAAATTTCGGCCAATACTTTTTGGTAGTGAGTGTATGATTGTTTATTGTACTGCTATTGTGTGAGACTTAATCGGCTAGACGTTTTTTTTTCAAATTTGTAGTTGATGGTTATTACAGTAATGTCGGGTGCAAATGACAGACGATGGTGGTATTTAGTACACTATACTTGTGGAGCAAGCAGAGAAGCAATACGCCTTTTTCTATGAACCAATGAGAATCATATTGAGGCAGCGTTATTAAGGAATTTAGAAAGACATTATTAGACTTGTTATTATTAAACTTTAGTTGATGATAATTTTGATCTATGGTAACTGCCGTGTGGTATAAATCACCTTACCCCCAAATTTTATTAATTAATAAATCGATATTGCTTAACATTTATTGTAATAAATGTATAAACTACCAAAATGTTATAGAACTTTTGACGTCAAACGAAACGCCGTATGTAGTTAGATAATTGATGTGGTATCAGAAAAAAAAAGATATGACGCATTGCGAAACTTGTGGGAGCAGCTGCTGTTCATACGTAGAACAGAATCGACAAAATGCTAACTTCTATTGGGTAGGCTGTAATTAAGTTAAAGTGTTTGTACTCTTGTTCTAATGTCGCGTTTATAGAACACTTGTCGTGATAGACGCTAGTGTCCCAAAGTATGTATCTCTTCGTAACTACTAACACTTTTCTAATAGTTGTTGCAATAGATATGTAGAACTACTGATATGATAGATAAATTTGTTATCTTAATATTTATCTACTAGTTTGTTGATTCTCGCAACTAATGTGTAGTGATAGTTGACCGAACATAAGACTGCAACAAAATTAAATTTACCAGGACTGTAACCCCCTTCAATTAAGAGTTGTACAAAGCTGTTAATGCAAGCTTATTACGTTACGGTTTGCCGATCAATTTCATATGAGGACACTTGTAAGGTTAGTTTGACTTTACCAGGGTAATGGGAGAAAGGGTCTTGTGATAAGAAAAAGGGATGTGACGATTAGAATATAATAAGATTTCTGGCATAAAGTTAATATGGTAAGACACCAAGAACAGAAAAAAAAATGTTAATATTGCTGTAATCATAGTCTGGGTTGGAGAAAGTTTTATCTTTCGCATAGGATGTTTTTTTTTTTGACCGGGAAATGTTATCAAATTTTAGCGACCCATTATTCCAACGATTGTCGACTAAGAATTTACAAGCCACTCAATTTTATAATAATTATCCCTATGACGTGTACTAATGAGTCAATTCATTGACATAACGTCACATTGTAGTATGTACTGTATTTGGACATTCAGTTTGGTAGACATCATGCCTTGTTTAGAAAGCAGTTCCGTAAAGTTTTTCTAAACGTTCCGAGTGAGCGGCGGCGGCACCATTCAAAAGGTCAAGATGACTCTCAACATCTGGTAGTATAGTAGTAACAGGACAACAATTGAGAATTAATATAAAATAGTCGGTTAAACTGACTGTTTGATGTATCAGTGTTATGATTACCTTTCAGTAGATTTCTAATCTCTGGAGAATCAACATTAGACTCGATTGAAGCAAGTATTAATAACTTGCTAATGCTTAGCATAGTCTACAAAATAGAAGACATCAAAAATCGTCAAAACTTCTACCCCACCCCTTTAAATTTTAAAAACTACAAGATCAAATCATGGACATTCACCAACTTTGTTTTATCAACTTGTTGCTCGGCCAAAGCATCTTGATATAAATTTTCAGCAGCAGTCTTATAATCTTTGCAATAAATGTTATGTATCCATGAAATTTGTGGCGGTTTTCGTTCATTTAGATATTGTTGAAGGAACTGCTTGTGCTCATGAGCGTGGGGCCAATCCAACAGTTCGTGTAGCTTGCCTGTACCAAAATCGCCAAACAACTGTTTAGCGTCAAGTCTTTTTATATTTAATTGTTAAAAACATTACCTTGCTCAAGTAGACAGTCATAAAAGACATATGCGAATGTCTGTCCAAATTTATTCATGTACAATTGTGTACGAGCATTAGTCTCTTTTTCATCTAAGAGACTTAGCTCAACTAGCGTTCTGAAATCTTTGTACGCTTCTGCGTGACGTAATGCAGAAGCTTTTTCGCCAACGGCAACTATAATTATAAAAACGAGTAAATTTATGGTCTGTCTAAAAAAAAATTGTATTCAATCCCTCACCTAACGATTTCAGAATACTAGGAGGTTCGCTCTCGTCTTTTGAACTAATTAAATGTTATTGGCATAAATGTTGGTAGCGTAGCGGCGTAGTATAAGCACAGCCACGACAATTACATCTCACCTATTAAATGTGGCACCGAAGAAAACAAAAAAATTGGCCGCCAAATCCACCATCTGATCTTTTAATATCCTTATTTGCTCCATCTTATCTATTACTGCGTTTATCCCCTTGCGTTTGGTCTGATTTGATCTTGCACTAATGTCCAGAATGAGTGCCTCAGTTGACTCAAGCTGCTTTCGCAGTATTGTGGCAATTTCAGGGTTTGCTATGTAAAATTAAATTCATATCAGTCAAAGTGGCAATATTATACATAATAAAAAAACCAAACTATCAAATAATCGCATTGACAACAATACGGTACACGACCATGCTTCTGCTCCTGCTTCTTCGGTTTCTGTCAAACAATAAACCTGCTTCATAGATTTCCTATACTCCAAAGCTCCTTCAAGTCCAGTCTAATCCACAATAATGTTAGCCTTGTACAAAAAACATATTGTCTTAATGATAGTTTCTCACTCACCAATAATATTAAATTGGCCTGGTACATGAATAATGCTTTGTATTCACTGTCGAAAAACCTTGCAAGCAGTTGTTGCTCAACATATCCAAAAAGACTGCCAACGTCACGCACCTGAAGATTTTGAATAACTACCACTTAATAGTGAGTAATAACAAAGAATAACCGCATTATTAACTTACATGATATTTATAAAACTGCGTACTAAGGTCTTCATTGATTTGAGCCTTGATATTAATATTGTGATCGTGGAAATAAGCTTTTATTGCATCTTCTAACAAGTCACTGGAAGCGGCATTTTGATAAATCCATAAATTTTTTGCGCAAGCAATTTTATCACTATTCCAGAATAGACTTGTCAAAGTAGCTGTTGTCAACTACCACGTTGATTAAGACGTTAGCCAGCTATTGATAAGCGTTGATAAGCGTTGAAAAAACCCAACAACAGATATGCAAAAACAAACAAACTTGATTCAATCGTTTACATAAACTTATGGATTTGACGATGCGAGTTATCTTGATTAACCGATCGTTTAGTTGATATTCGAGACTTTTTGAATCGTCAAGATGTTCACAACCTACAGAATGTCATTGCCGGTTAATCCCGTGCTGCTAACGATAGAACATTATTAAAAAAAAAAAATAAGCTGTACTTGTGTTTAAAATCTCTTCACCAAGCTTTAATGCAACCTGATTCAGGTCAGTTTCTTGGTCTGCCGAAAGATAAGGTTGGAGAGGGTTCTAAAGAAAAACACATTAGATTTAGGTGATACAGGACACGAACTAGTTCTTACAATTAAATATTAAGCATAGATAATTACGTCTTCAAAATTATGATAGAATACTATCCATTCTAACTTTGCTTTTAAATCTTGTATCAGCATTTCCTGGATTGAATAACAAAAATTAGAGGCTAATATGGGTAGCAATTATAAAAAATACAATCTATATAGTTGCCTGTTTTTTTTCAGCGTCTTGTTCATCATCAGCCTCACTAAATTAGACGAATAATAAATTTCAAGATTTAATATCATAAAAAGACTTTACTTAACTTACTTTACTATATCTCGGATTTGCAGATGACAACTCATTATTCCCGTTCTGCTAGTTAGCACATGCAAAACCTCACGTTCACTACAACCATATAATATAACATCACGGCGAGAATCACGCATAGTTATCGTTTCGTTGTAGTCAACATCTTGTACGTACGTCCATGAAAACAATATGTGAGAAGTGATACAAGTGTAAATGACTAGACAAGTGTATATACCTTTTATAAGCGCTGTGATTATAACTGCTTCAGGAAATAATACAAATGCAGAAGATCCGCCACTAAGAAGAACAAGACGTGGCTTTGCAGACAACGAAAGTGACTACAAACAATGCAGACCATAACGGAATTAAATACAGTTACTTCAGCCAGAATGAATATATTACAACCGACTTACATTAGGAACCTTTAATTGTCGATTTCCTCTAACGCGATACTGAGCGTTTTCGGACCGATCAATTTCAATGGTATACAAAAAAAACTGACAATTTTCGTTTCGTCGCATTGAAGAGACCAATATGACTAGTTCTTCATAGCTAAGGAAATGCATAACAGCTTAACAAACAATAGAATGTTTTAATAACAATCAGCAATTACTCTACCTCGAATATTCTACGTCAAGTAATTTCAAATCAATAGAACTAGTAGCGTCAAACTGGTTTACAACACTTTGCTGAATGTCGCATGCTATGAGTTGGTGTATGTCACTAGACGAAATAAACTTTGGGAGAAAAAAAAAGAGTTTAAACCATCGTCCTTAGATGCTAGCAACGGCAACATTGAGTATCAATGTACCTTGTGTGGATAGAGTGCAGGCGCAAGTTGATAGAATTCGAGAGTCTTCTCTGTAAGCACAAATAGCTCGCTTTTGCACAAGATGTTGCGGTCGGTGACACATGAGTTGTAAACAACAAATTTAATGATTGGAATATCCATCGCCCCTACCATAAATATTCTTTCTCGAGCTTTTCTCCAAGAGTAGTAGTAACAACTCTGAAATTTACAGGCTCATCGGTTTGTCCAAAAATAGAACTCAGAAATAAGTCGACGAAACCCTGATTGCGTAACAGAACGGTACTCTCAAGTGTAGATGTTTTTCCCTTTTTCACAATGATACTAAATAAGTTTAAGTTTTCTGTCCCAACTATTATTACATTCCCATACTATAACGAATTCGGAAATATTACATATTAGCTACGATGACAAAAATGTTTGTCTTATGATGACAATGCATGGTTACCTCGTAACAGTCTAAACATGTTACATAATCGTCCTTGTCAAGATGTAAATCAAGACTCTTGTATCTTTCGACTTCTGTTAATGCAAAAGATATCTTATCCCAGTATTTAAGATTGCCTTTTAATGAGCATACTAGTAGTCCCGGTGTCGCTCCATTAATTGGTGGCACAATGCAAACAAAAGTTGTTGCAATCGGCATTGAAAACCTAAACCTATAACAAGTGGGCATTCTTTGCTGTAATTGCTGTAAAAGTAATAATAATTATCGATTCAATAATAACAATATAAACATTAGTGAAATATTAAAAGTGAATCAAACCTCTTCTTTATAATTCCAAACATAACAGTCTGTGAGTGACCAAACAGCAGCATAACCAACATTACTATTGATCGAGCCTTGACATTGTCCTAATATCGTATCGTTATTTGGTTATTGCATTCTGTGCAACAGATTTCGCATTCTACAGGACGTAGTCTTAAACCAATACACAACCTTCTGTATCTTGTAAAAATGTTTTGACTTCAAAAGGAAGAGCGGGCAAACGCTCTACCGTGAGGTTTTTATATTTCAGGTATGGTAATGTTTTTCCGTCTTCGTGTCGTATTTCACTAAAAAAAGTGCTGTTAAAGGAAGAGTATTCCGAGGCGGAACGGGAGAATGATGTAATGGTATCTTGTGTGCTTGAAGTGGAAATAATAGAAGTGTCGCGAGGTAAACGCGAACTTTGCTGTCTTGGTATAAACATGATATATTCAAAGACGAAGAGAAAGACCGAGATTGCGTTTACGTGATTTACATGTGAAAATTTTAATTGTCACGTGAAATTAATGCCAAAACATTACTTTTGATTTGACAAAGAATTATGACAAGCATAATTTAAAGTTTACCAATTGTATCTGCTTGTGGAATGTAGGTGAAAATAATTACCACCGAAACAATGTTGAATTTTTGATGCTAGGGTTATGTATAGCCTACTAACCAATTTATTTCTTGCTTACGTCTGTTAAATTGGAAACATTTTCGATTTCGATATGGTTGGACAACGTATATAAACTTCCGCCAAGCTGTAGCTAAGTCGAATTGTACCAATTAAAGGCTTATTTAAAAGTCACGTTACTCACAATCGTTGTTATTTTATATTATTGATCCGAGAAAAGATTTTTTGAATTTGAAGCAAAAAATGTCGATGTTATGATATGAAGTTGACAATTGACTTTTTTATTTGGCCTACTTCATTCAAAACTAGTACTTTGCTAACTATCACAGTCGGCTAACAACACTTAATTTTCAAAGTTAGAAAAACGAGTTATACAGTTAATTCTATTTAGAGACTAAATAATCGATGGTAGGAAATTAGTTCAGGAAACAATTATAACAAAGACGACGTAAATATACAAAAATTTGCTAAAGTTGAACCTAACGCTGAGGCCGCTAAAAGCTGAAGGTCGCTGATTGAGTTAGAATATATCTCACCAAGTAAATGGCAAGAATACGTCTATTAAAAATAAAGATGTACTTTTGATAATGGTAAGCAATACGTTCTATTGATAAACATTTTATCGGCATCAAGCTGAGGCGTCAAATTTAAAATGCAAAAGCTGAGATAAGTAAACAAACTTATAAGCGTAATGTTTCAAGGTTCTCCAATGCGCGTTCGTGTATTTTTAATTTAACCTTTTTCTAATAACGTACTTACCTCTTTTTATTCGGTGTGCTTGCTTGCAAACAATGAAAAAGTCAACTATCAAACATAGAGCACTGTTGGATAAGAAAGACTTTTCTGGCAATGAGAAATTTTTCTAAAGATTAGTATCGTTATAATAATTTATCTTTTTCCGTAACCAAGAAATTTTTTATCACAGTTACAGTAATTTATATAAAAAAGTAAGCGTAGACCATTTCATATATACGTATGTGTTGAGGTAAAAATTGGTTCCATTGCAAGACGAAAACAGTGGCTTTTCGGTTGAGGCATTCTAGAAATAATTTTATAGGAAAAAAAAGGTGTAACGTGAATTGTAAAGAGTGCTGAATTACCGTCTTAGCACTGACGTTACAATTTGCCATTTTCAGCCAAAAGCACGTTTTTATATCAGTAGACAAACTTTATTAGTTAACTATCTCGGGTTTTAATTTACCTGTACACGTCAAACACAATCCAATCTCACATTTTATGAGACAATACTTCTGTTTGCTTGCATCATATGTAAATCTGATGGTAACCCAAACATCTGCGTTAAGAAGACCTGGATACTTATCACATGGCTAGTGGAATGATACATAATAATAACGAGTCAATTACTATTAAAATATTCAATAAACATGACGTAACGTATAAGTAAATAATTTACCTCAAGTAAAATCAATTCAACAAGTGCATAAGTAGGTAGGCCATGCAAGTATACACCATATGTGTTAAAATCAATGCAATCGCATGGAATCCATTCTAAATAGATATCATTTGCTGGATTTGTTTGTAATTGGGATTTCTTAACAAACTCGTTGATTTGGTAATTGCATCACCACACGGGACTATATCGGAGCAGTCCACAGGCAGTGCAAAATCCATATCGAAAATAACAATGGTAAAAGCGTTTATTAACAACCAAATAAGAGTTTTCATCATACTTGGTAAAACCTTTTATTAGTCGGTTGCGATACGTAAGCCATATCTTATATCGTCTATATTGATTGTACAGATGACTTTCCCTATTATGTGACCTTCTTGTTACAGTAAGATCTGTCAACTATATTAATGCTTTATTTGGTTAGAGTTATGCAGGTTTATTTTATTTTATTCTTCTCTTCGAATTCTATTCTACACATGAACAGCAGCCGCTCTTATGTGTCATGTCTTTTTTTATATTTCATGACGCCACATAAATTATCTAGCTGCATAAGACATTTTATAGACGTTTCAAAAGTTCTAACATTTTGGTAGTTTATTACAATAATCGTTAAGCAATATTGATTTATTGATAATAATATCATATTAATATGTCAACCTATAGCTAAATTTGGGGGTAAGCTAAAGGGCGTTCATACCATAGATGTCAACTACAGTTTAATAATAACAAGTTTAATAATAAACTCTTTCTAAATCCTTCAATAAAGCTGTCTCCTCGATTCTCCAATATAACTCTCCATTGGTTTATAGAAAAAGGCGTATTGCTTCTCTGCTTGCTCCACAAGTATAGTGTACTAATTACAACCATCGTCTGTCATTACTGTAATAACCATCAACTACAAATTTGAAAAAAACGTCTAGCTGACTTCAAAATATCAAGTCTCACACACAATAGCAGTACATTAAACAATCATACCTCTTTATTTGCAATTACGAGTCAGCTAAAACTCATGAAATACCCGCCGTGACGATAAGCTTGTTTTGTTCGCGTCCGATTGTATGGATGTTTATGTCATCTACAAAAGTAGTTGAGAGTGAGTATTCTAATGTCTCATACGTTTATGTTTCCTACTCACATCCAGCAGGGAACAGAGCGAGATAGAACCC